TCTAGTTCTAGTTCTGTTCTAGTTCAGTTCTAGTTCAGTTCTAGTTCAGTTCTAGTTCAGTTCTAGTTCAGTTCTAGTTCAGTTCTAGTTCAGTTCTAGTTCAGTTCTAGTTCAGTTCTAGTTCAGTTCTAGTTCAGTTCTAGTTCAGTTCTAGTTCAGTTCTAGTTCAGTTCTAGTTCAGTTCTAGTTCAGTTCTAGTTCAGTTCTAGTTCAGTTCTAGTTCAGTTCTAGTTCAGTTCTAGTTCAGTTTAGTTCAGTTCTAGTTCAGTTCTAGTTCAGTTCTAGTTCAGTTCTAGTTCAGTTCTAGTTCAGTTCTAGTTCAGTTCTAGTTCAGTTCTAGTTCAGTTCTAGTTCAGTTCTAGTTCAGTTCTAGTTCAGTTCTAGTTCAGTTCTAGTTCAGTTCTAGTTCAGTTCTAGTTCAGTTCTAGTTCAGTTCTAGTTCAGTTCTAGTTCAGTTCTAGTTCAGTTCTAGTTCAGTTCTAGTTCAGTTCTAGTTCAGTTCTAGTTCAGTTCTAGTTCAGTTCTAGTTCAGTTCTAGTTCAGTTCTAGTTCAGTTCTAGTTCAGTTCTAGTTCAGTTCTAGTTCAGTTCTAGTTCAGTTCTAGTTCAGTTCTAGTTCAGTTCTAGTTCAGTTCTAGTTCAGTTCTAGTTCAGTTCTAGTTCAGTTCTAGTTCAGTTCTAGTTCAGTTCTAGTTCAGTTCTAGTTCAGTTCTAGTTCAGTTCTAGTTCAAGTTCTAGTCAGTTCTAGTTTCAGTTCTAGTTCAGTTCTAGTTCAGTTTCTAGTTCAGTTCAGTTCAGTTAGTTCAGTTCTAGTTCAGTTCTAGTTCAGTTCTAGTTCAGTTCTAGTTCAGTTCTAGTTCAGTTCTAGTTCAGTTCTAGTTCAGTTCAGTTCTAGTTCAGTTCTAGTTCAGTTCTAGTTCAGTTCTAGTTCAGTTCTAGTTCAGTTCTAGTTCAGTTCTAGTTCAGTTCTAGTTCAGTTCTAGTTCAGTTCTAGTTCAGTTCTAGTTCAGTTCTAGTTCAGTTCAGTTCTAGTTCAGTTCTAGTTCAGTTCTAGTTCAAGTTCTAGTTCAGTTCTAGTTCAGTTCTAGTTCAGTTCTAGTTCAGTTCTAGTTCAGTTCTAGTTCAGTTCTAGTTCAGTTCTAGTTCAGTTCTAGTTCAGTTCTAGTTCAGTTCTAGTTCAGTTCTAGTTCAGTTCTAGTTCAGTTCTAGTTCAGTTCTAGTTCAGTTCTAGTTCAGTTCTAGTTCAGTTCTAGTTCAGTTCTAGTTCAGTTCTAGTTCAGTTCTAGTTCAGTTCTAGTTCAGTTCTAGTTCAGTTCTAGTTCAGTTCTAGTTCAGTTCTAGTTCAGTTCTAGTTCAGTTCTAGTTCAGTTCTAGTTCAGTTCTAGTTCAGTTCTAGTTCAGTTCTAGTTCAGTTCTAGTTCAGTTCTAGTTCAGTTCTAGTTCAGTTCTAGTTCAGTTCTAGTTCAGTTCTAGTTAGTTCTAGTTCAGTTCTAGTTCAGTTCTAGTTCAGTTCTAGTTCAGTTCTAGTTCAGTTCTAGTTCAGTTCTAGTTCAGTTCTAGTTCAGTTCTAGTTCAGTTTCTAGTTCAGTTCTAGTTCAGTTCTAGTTCAGTTCTAGTTCATTCTAGTTCAGTTCTAGTTCAGTTCTAGTTCAGTTCTAGTTCAGTTCTAGTTCAGTTCTAGTTCAGTTCTAGTTCAGTTCTAGTTCAGTTCTAGTTCAGGTTCTAGTTCAGTTCTAGTTCAGTTCTAGTTCAGTTCTAGTTCAGTTCTAGTTCAGTTCTAGTTCAGTTCTAGTTCAGTTCTAGTTCAGTTCTAGTTCAGTTCTAGTTCAGTTCTAGTTCAGTTCTAGTTCAGTTCTAGTTCAGTTCTAGTTCAGTTTCTAGTTCAGTTCTAGTTCAGTTCTAGTTCAGTTCTAGTTCAGTTCTAGTTCAGTTCTAGTTTAGTTCTAGTTCAGTTTAGTTTAGTTCAGTTCTAGTTCAGTTCTAGTTCAGTTCTAGTTCAGTTCTAGTTCAGTTCTAGTTCAGTTCTAGTTAGTTCTTCAGTTCAGTTCTAGTTCAGTTCTAGTTCAGTTCTAGTTCAGTTCTAGTTCAGTTCTAGTTCAGTTCTAGTTCAGTTCTAGTTCAGTTCTAGTTCAGTTCTAGTTCAGTTCTAGTTCAGTTCTAATTCAGTTCTAATTCAGTTCTAGTTCAGTTCTAGTTCAGTTCTAGTTCAGTTCTAGTTCAGTTCTAGTTAGTTCTAGTTCAGTTCTAGTTCTAGTTTTTCAGTTCTAGTTCAGTTCTAGTTCAGTTCTAGTTCAGTTCTAGTTCAGTTCTAGTTCAGTTCTAGTTCAGTTCTAGTTCAGTTCTAGTTCAGTTCTAGTTCAGTTCTAGTTCAGTTCTAGTTCAGTTCTAGTTCAGTTCTAGTTCAGTTCTAGTTCAGTTCTAGTAGTTCAGTTCTAGTTCAGTTCTACTTCAGTTCTAGTTCAGTTGTGCTTGTATATTTGAACACTACCCTAATTCGTTGAATAGGTGCATTTGTATTTTAAAAATGTCATTGTATTTTATTAGAACAGGTTCATGTTGTTGCTACTGCTGTTGTGTACTGGTGACAGATTTCTAATGTATATTTTGTTGTTGATGTATGTGTTCATAATTTTTACATCTTGTTAATCATGTAGTTTAGTATGGGGCCATATTTGTTTTATTACTAGTTATTGTTAATGTTGATATTGTCGTTTCTTTTTAGCTGTATTATTGTAAGCAAATGTTATTTATGTTGTTGCTGCTGATCCAATTTTCCTTCGTTAACATATGTATATTGTTTCTATGTTTACGTAGTGTAATAAAAGTTGGGGACAGAAAAATAGTAAGAGATAATGATTTTAGTTTCTTTTTCAAAAACAAGATGAGTATTTTAAATCTGTATGTTATGCATTTTTCCAACTAGTTTTTCTATATTTATGCAGTCTTCTACTAGGATTTAGCATAACAACTATATGATTTTTAGTATTTAAATTATAATTGAAGTTTTGGTAACAAAACAACTTTTCAGTATTAGTTACTGCATTATTTTTCTTTGGAAAAGATTAAACATAATGTAATTGAATATGATTGTTATGGATTTGAATTCATGCTGAGTTTGTGACATTTACTTGGTAATAGTATTTAAAGGCAAAAATTTACCTCAGTTTTTATAAGTTACACTAATAGAAAAATATTTTGATGAAATTAATTTTATTAAAAAAATGGAAGAACATAAATGTTCATTCAATCAGTATGCGGCGTTACAATTGCGTTACAATCTATATTCTATATTATAAAATTTTCAAAAAGTATCAGTGCACAAAAAATTCTCATTTTTTGATGAAATTTTCAGAGGTTGTCTCGGATTTTTGTTTATATCACCGTTATTTCTTAATCGATTTTGCTAATTTTAAATAGAAAATTTCTCGAAATCATATCTGATAGAATTGTTGAAGATTTGCGACCAGAAGATATCTGGCGTCTAGAGGAAATTTATTTCAACAATCGTACAGACGGACAGAACAAAAGAACATAGTTTAATCGCCTCCGCTTTGTATGGTCTTTGTATGGGGGCTACGATGAAATGAGGCCTGATCATTATGAAAATTTAGACTTATATAAAACTAAACATTTAACATAATTATAAGCTGAAAAGCCCTATTTGGGGGGTACGGTTGTGTGGGGGCTAATCGAAATAATGGACCGATTTTAAACATTTTTAATAGGATTGGATCAAAAGAAGAGTATGTGCAAAATTTCATGAAATTATAATGCAAATTGCGACCTGTAGCGTGAGCACAAAGTTTACATGGACACCGTCCCCATTATAGTAGGGTATAATATTATCATTCTGTTTGTATCATATCGTAATATTGGTCTAAGACCCAGAAAAGTACATATATTCTTGGTTCTCATTAGATTCTTAGGCGATCTAGACACGTCCGTCCGTCTAATGATCTGACCGTCTGTTGAAAACACGATAGAGTCCAAACGTATTGTTTGGTATTGAAAATGGGAAAGATCGATCCACAATTTCACCTGGCCCCATACAAATTGCCCTCCGGTATACAGTTTAAACAGTCATAACTGATTTAAAAAGACCAGTACAGTGATGAAATTCAAGTTTTTTATAAGTACAAAAATCTCTCTACAACATTTTATGAAGAATTCCCTACCGCCTATGAAGGGTATATAAGATGCGGCAAGGCCGATTATAAAACGCTTACTTATTTTTGATCTAATTTTGACAACAAACAAATAAATATTAATTTATTTTCGCCTTACAGTTGAAATAAACAAAAATTCCAGAAAAATTTGTATTTTCAATAAAGCAAAAAACACATTATCTAAAACAAAGACCACCCACCACTGTCCAGACCCTATAGTATACAAATGTATATAAACTATTGCAGTTTTAAAATTTCTCATTTCATATACTGTTGCTTTGGCAATAACAACATCGATTGTTTGAAACGAAATGTTTTTGAAATATTTGATTTTTCAAATATTCTTCTGCATAATTTCATTTGAAACTGGGGTAAGATTTTATTTATATCTTAAGATAAATTTTAATAATTTTTTTATATATATACTTACTTAGAATTGTGAAAACTCTAATTTGGATGAAGTTTATCTTCATTTATTTGGACAAATTGAAAATATTAAACAATCGTTACAAATAGTAAACAATCGCATAGATGTACTGACCGATAGGTTAGTAAAATATTATATTTTATCATAGAATTGTGATACATATTTGTCTTGTTTATTATTATATATTCATCTATTATTGACAAAAAAGAAACATGTGAAAAGTCAACCAAAACTTCCCGATCAATGTTTGATATACGATTGGATAGCTTACCCAAACATTGCAGTGCAGTGCCACCCAGCTCATGTGCCGAAGCCACTGAATGCACTCGTACCAGTGGCATTTATAATATCACTGATTATTGCTATAGCAATCAGACGTTCACCGTTTATTGCAACTATGACTATAACGATGGGGATTGGTTATACTTTTTAACGCGCTTTAATGGTAGAGAGAATTTTAAGCGAACCTGGAATGAATATGTTCATGGTTTTGGCAATGTTGCCAATGAATATTGGTTTGGGTTTAGAGCGTCTCTATGCTCTAACAAACTATTATGGACCACAAGAGTTGATTGTGTATATTGAAAATTTTGAAGGAATAGCGAAATATGCACGATATAGTGATTTTGTTATTGGAAATGCAAGTGAAAAATATGAATTAAAGACATTGGGAGAATATTCGGGTACAGCTGGTGATAGTATGAGCAATCAATTTGGCTGCTATTTTACTACATATGACAATGATAATGATATGAATGATTCATTAAATTGTGCTAAAACTTATGGAGGTGGTTTTTGGTTTAAGAGTTGTACTACTGCGTAAATATTTAATAACTTCTCTTTAATTTTCCTCACTAATATTATTTTACTATTTTCAGAAATCCCACTGGATTTATATAGAGGAGATAATGGAGATATTGGAAGCTTTTGGCATGATTTTGGTGGCTGGAATTATTCCCATTAAACAATTATATTCATGATTCGTCGTAAAAGTGTAATAAAATTAAAATAATTTAGTTTTTCTTATAACAACAGCATTTTAAATTAAACTGTTTGTATTTTTAAAATAATTTACTAAAATTATTGAATTTAATGAAACGAAAATTACAAAATTTAATTTTAATTTTATTGTAAAAAAATAAATAAAATTATTTCAAACTAAATAATCGTAAATAGAGCGTAGTCTGGAATATAGTATAAACCATAGTAGAAAAAAAGAAGGTAGTGCCAATCAAAAAATTTTATTTTAAATAAGGTTTTTTGAAGCCATATTTTTCAAAATTATGTTGAATTCCGGGAGAATTTTTAATGAAGAATGTGTAATTTATTATTAGGAGATTCATTCAATTATTCATTTTCGCTACAAACTGATAACGACAACACACTGTTCTAAATGATGGATTTTTTAAATTATTTTTATTACAATAATAAATGATTTTATTATATAATTTTGTACTGTAGTCTAAACTATAGTCCAATCTATAGACTACAATATGTATAGACTAGACTATAGACTAGACTATAGACTAGACTATAGACTAGACTATAGACTAGACTATAGACTAGACTATAGACTAGACTATAGACTAGACTATAGACTAGACTATAGACTAGACTATAGACTAGACTATAGACTAGACTATAGACTAGACTATAGACTAGACTATAGACTAGACTATAGACTAGACTATAGACTAGACTATAGACTAGACTATAGACTAGACTATAGACTAGACTATAGACTAGACTATAGACTAGACTATAGACTAGACTATAGACTAGACTATAGACTAGACTATAGACTAGACTATAGACTAGACTATAGACTAGACTATAGACTAGACTATAGACTAGACTATAGACTAGACTATAGACTAGACTATAGACTAGACTATAGACTAGACTATAGACTAGACTATAGACTAGATTATAGACTAGACTATAGACTAGACTATAGACTAGACTATAGACTAGACTATAGACTAGACTATAGACTAGACTATAGACTAGACTATAGACTAGACTATAGACTAGACTATAGACTAGACTATAGACTAGACTATAGACTAGACTATAGACTAGATTATAGACTAGACTATAGACTAGACTATAGACTAGACTATAGACTAGACTATAGACTAGACTATAGACTAGACTATAGACTAGACTATAGACTAGACTATAGACTAGACTATAGACTAGACTATAGACTAGACTATAGACTAGACTATAGACTATACAACAGATTAGACTATAGACTAGATTGTAGACAACACTATAGACTAGACTGTAAAGTAGACAATATACTAGAATACAGACTATAGACTAAACTTTAGACTATAAACTGGTCTTTAAAGAACTTCAGGCTAATTTTTAGACTAGTCCGACAATAATTTAGTCAAAAGTCCAATCTATAATCTTGACTAACATCTAGTCAATCAAAATGTAATTTTAAATTAGTTAGTTTAATGGAAGAAGGATGCTACAAACATCAGCAAAGGGGATAAAAGCCTCACACATTTCTTACTAACAGCACTATCCGTTTTGGTTAAACGATTCTACCCACACCATCGGCTCGTACCTCAAATCATCCTCCTATGTTTTGCTTATTTTGCAGTCACTATTTAATGTTTTGGAACAATTAGCTTCTAAAAAATATTGAATAATTCATGAGACTAACCTTTATTTACAATTTAAATGTAGTTTTTAATATTTGTTTTATAATTTTCAATTTAGAGTAAAAATTTTATTTTTAAAAGGAAACTTCAAAAAATATCAACATTTTTAAATAAAATATGGTAGCACAATTTTAATAAAAACTTCAAAATCCTTAAGCATGTCAGATAGTGAATTCCATGATACAACCATATTTATTATGGTGAATTCCAAAAAATAAAGAGAGAATGACACTACCTTCTTTTTTTCTACTATGGTATAAACTATAGTATGGATTCAAAATGTTCTAAGAATTTTACAAATTTCAATGTTTCATCTTTGGGCCACCAACAAATCGTTGCCAAACCAGAACAGTAATAAATTTGCATCCCTATATAGTAAGGTCACAGGGCATAGAAATTTCTACTTTTGGACAGACTAACTAACTTCATTGTTAAATATTTGAAATCCTCTTGTTGTTCTTGAACATTTTTTTATTAGCTCAACATTAAAGCATTTTCCTCATCATGATCAAACTTCTTTCGACAGCGATTTATGAAACGTAATATCCCAGCTATACGATGAAAATCTTTTATAATCAACAACATGTTCAGTATTTAATAACAATTTTAAACGAAATTCTTCTGCATCGAAATCATTTGAGGCTTCAATTATTTCTTTGGTCCATTTGTCTTCATAATCATATAGAATGTCAGGGTCTTTAAACCAGCTGGAATCATCAGAAGACAATTTGTCTTTTCATTCTGGTTATAAGTCTTCACCACCATCAGTGGTGGTAGAGGGTATATATGTATAAGTTTGTCATTCCGTGTGTAACACCAAGAAATATTCATCTAAGACCCAACAAAGTATATATATATTCCGGGTCCTTATCAAATTCTGTGTCGATTTAGCTATGTCCGTCCGTCTGTCTGTCTGTGTAAAACACGCTCACGTTAAAACTAAGCAAAGGAAATCAAACAAGTTCTCCGAAAATATTCATTATTGGCCTGAGCAGTTTGGTATTGAAAATCAGCAAATTCGGTTCACAATGTAAAAAGTTTTGAGTAAAAATTTCAGACTACCTCGAAAAATATTACGTTTTTTCCTAATTCTCGAGTAGTTTTCTCAGAATTCTGTCACATGTTATTTATTTTGCCCAGGGATCAATTATGTTCAAACTCAAAAAATCGGCCCCCATACAAAGGTCCATATTCTCGAAAATGGGTTTATGGTTAATAACTTTGTCAAAAATATCGGTATCACCACGAAATTTTGCATATATATTATATGTATATAATATGAACAGAAATAATATTACCAACGTAAATCTATATCGGTCCATAAATGATCATAGCTCCCATATAAGGTCCACTTTCGAATATCACTTTAATGTACATAACTAATTAAGAAATAAAGATATTGGAATAATATTCGACATAAATATGTTTTGTGTAAACATATATCACTCTGAAAAAATATTTTTTCGGATCGCTCCATAATTGGGCTTAGACTCCATATAAGGCCTATTGCCGATAACCATGTAAACGCACATATTTCATTACTGAATAAAGATATCGGTATAAAATTCATCATGAATATGTTTAAAGTACATATAAACGACCCTGCGAAATTTTTTCCGGATCGTTGCATATTTGGTCACAGCTTCCCTATAAAGTCCACTTCCGAAAACCAGCACATAACTAATATAATAAAGAAATAAAGATATTGGAATAATATTCGACATACTTAAATATGTTTTGTGTATACATATACATATGGCTCCACCAAATTTTTTCCGGATCTGTCTTTAATTGGTCATCGCTACCACATAATGGCCCACTTACGATAACCATATAAATGGATGTATTTCATTACTGAATGAAGATATCGGTATAAATTTCGTAATGAATGTGTTTAACGTAGATATGAAACATACTGAGAAATATTTTCCGGATCAGTCCATAATTGGTCATAGCTCCACTTCCAAAAATTGCATATTTCATTGATAAATAAAGATACCGGACTAAAATTCCTCATAAATAAGTTTTTGATATACACAAATCACTTAAATTTTTTCTGGATTGGCCCGATATGCGGTCCACTTTCAAAAATTACTTAGCCCCACATATTTCATTGACAAATTGACATGAGTATTTTTTTGTATGTACATATAAATCATTCTGAAAAATATTTGGATCAGTATGTTATGAGAATCTATAAGTGTAAATTGTTTGGTACTTTTTCATACTTCAGCTGCTACTTTTTGATTTTTCAGAAATAATGAACCAAAAAAACATAAAATCATAGACATAGGATCCTAATGTAATGAAAATCTATAAAAGTAGGCGTTTTTGGTACTTTTTCTTTAATCCAGTGGTACTTTTTAAATCATTTATAATATTAAACCTAAAAAACATAGAATTAAATACGCAGCGCCCCGGTTAAATGAAAATCTATAAAAGTAAACTTTTTTGGTACTTTTTCGTTATTCCAATGGTACTTTTTCATTTTTTTAGCAATATTGAACCTAGAATTATATAACCAGACATATAAGATCTTAATGGAATGAAAATTAATGTTTAAAAATGGAAACTTTTTGTTACTTTTACGTTCTTTAACTGGAACTTTTCGATAATCCCGCTCCTGTTACGGATATTATGACCAAAAAAAAAACTAAATAAATCCATTTTTGGGATTTTTCAAAAGATTTTTTTTGTGAATTTCAAAATTTCTTTTTAGTTTTACACTGTCTATATAACTGTAAAATATGTCATTTTTTGAGATCGCAACACAAACAAATAAATAGGATCTTTTTAAAAAATTCAAAATACCCAAAGTGTCCTACTTTGCGGACCCCTAACTGCTCCCTAATTTTTGTTGATTTTTATACCCTTCCTTCGTGAGAAGGGTATATATAAGTTTGTCATTCCGTTTGTAATTTCTATAATATAATTTTCCGACCCTATAAAGTATATATATTCTGGATCCTTATAGATAGCGGAGTCGATTTAGCCATGTCCGTCTGTCCGTCCGTCTGTCTGTCTGTTTGTGTGTATGTTGAAATCAGTTTTCAGAAGACCCCAGATATCTGCGAGATCCGAATTTTCAATAATTCTATTGGAAATACGATCGAATAGAACGCTATTTAAAATCAGCCCAATCGGCCCATAAATAGCGGAGATATGAGCAAAAATACGAGACTACCTCTGAAAATTTCATGAAAAATTGAGATTTTGTATTCATGCTCAGACAGAAACTGTAAACAACAACAACAAAATACATAATCATACGGTAAATTTTGTTATTGTACGTGTTTATAAAAACAAAGCTGAGCATGACGTCACGTTACGAACGAAGCAGTATGTTGTTATTGGCTAGACACATTAAATATAGTATGTAGAGCCTGGATTAAGTGAGAACCTATAAAAGGGAACTTTTTGGTACTTTTTCGTTCTTCAAAAGGTACTTTTTGAAATTTCTATAATATTGAACCTAGAAACATGAAATTAAGTATGTATGGCCCGGATTAGGTGAGAACCTATAAAAGGGGACTTTTTGGTACTTTTTCGTTCTACAAAAGGTACTTTTTGAAATTTCTACAATATTGAACCTAGAAACATGATATTAAGTATGTAAAGCCTGGATTAAGTGAGAACCTATAAAAGGGGACTTTTTGGTACTTTTTCGTTCTACAAAAGGTACTTTTTGAAATTTCTACAATATTGAACCTAAAAACATGAAATTAAGTATGTAGAGCCTGGATTAAGTGAGAACCTATAAAAGGGGACTTTTTGGTACTTTTTCGTTCTACAAAAGGTACTTTTTGAAATTTCTACAATATTGAACCTAAAAACATGAAATTAAGCATGTGGAGCCTAGATGAAGTGAGAACCTATAAAAGGGGACTTTTTGGTACTTTTTCGTTCTACAAAAGGTACTTTTTGAAATTTCTACAATATTGAACCTAGAAACATGAAATTAAGTATGTAGAGCCTGGATTAAGTGAGATCCTAAAAAAGGGGACTTTCTGGTACTTTTTCATTCTTCAAAAGATACTTTTTGAAATTTCTACAATATTGAACCTAGAAACATGAAATTAAGTATGTAGAGCCTGGATTAAGTGAGAACCTAAAAAAGGGGACTTTTTGGTACTTTTTCATTCTTCAAAAGGTACTTTTTGAAATTTCTACAATATTGAACCTAGAAACATGAAATTAAGTATATAGAGCCTGGATTAAGTGAGAACCTATAAAAGGGGACTCTTTGGTACGTTACCTTTTTACATTTGGTATTTTTTGATTTTTTGTAATAAAATTCGTACTGACTGGTTTTAAACACATCATGGTGAAGGGTATATAAGATTCGGCACAGCCGAATATAGTATTCTTACTTGTTTGTACTGATACTAGAACATTTAACATAATTATGAGCTGAAAAGACCTATTCACGGGATACAGTTGTATGGGGTCCAGGTGAAATAATGTGCCGATTTCAAATATGATCAATAGGCTTTGTCCTTGGGTAAAGAGTCGATTTTGTGCCATATTTCATTAAATTATCTTGAAAATTGCAAGCAGTAGTGTGTGCACAAGGTTTGCATAGAGACACAGATGGACGGACGGATAGACGGACAATCGATTTAGAAAGTAATTTAAAGTTGGTTGGTATACACTTTAAGATGTGTTGTAGATTAAAAATATTTGGGTCCCACTATAGTGGTATAGAGGAAAAAAAATCTTAAAACTCAACACACACATTTTCGACTTAGTATGTTTTAGTTTGAACGAGGCGATATGATAATCGTATGAGCATTGAAACGAAATACGGACCTTACATTTAAACTGAATGATTTGCAACTCAAAACAAAGTGTAAGTAAGTCTCTCACTTAGCATTTGCTAATCCGTATGTACATATATAAAAGAGTCGCGTTACTGACTAACTAATTCATTATCGAACATCTTTCAAAATAGTGGAAAGGGTATTATGCGTCTGTGCTGATGTTTGTAACAACCACCATAAAGTATATCAATCGGCTTAGAAAGACTTTTTAGGCGATTTAGATTTGTCCGTCCGTCCGTCCGTCCATCTGTCTGTGTGTCCATGTAAAGCTTGTGCGCACGCTACAAGTCGAACTGTTCAAGATAATTTGATAAAATTTGGCATATACTCTTTATTTGACCCAATGGTTAAAATAGGTCATTATTTCGCCTAGCCCCCATACAACCGTATCCCCCGAATAGGGCTTTTAAGTTCATAATTATGTTAAACGTTCTAGTATGTCAGCAAAAATCGTCAAAACTTAATTTTATAAAAGTCTAAATGACACTGCCGATTTTCGTAATGATCGGGCAAAATCCCCTTCAGAAAATGACTTGCTGTTAATTTAATCACACAAAATAAGCTTATTGTAAGCTATTGGTGTGTTATTTTGGAACTCAGATACTAAGAACTACATGACACCAAATTCAGTTAATCATTTAAATTTGTCTATAAAAGTAATCAAAATTTTTTTTTATGTATTTAATATCGATTAGGGTAGCGAAGCACCCAGGGTACTCTAGTTCATACATATGTATGTGATAAGAACTTTGTTTAAATATGCATCAGATTAATTTTTGACTTTTTTAAAGCGACAGCGATTCTTAAACATTAAGATCGAATGGAAATTTAAATACATTTTTAAAGAAACTTAACTAATAAAATAAATATAAAAAATATATTTTGCTTCGATATAAATTTATATATATATATGTATGTATGTAGATACAAATTTGCTATATGGGGTCTTGAGCAATATAAGCGATATGTTTTATAGATCGAGCTATTATTTAGATCTAGACTCGTAGAGTCATTGTCACATCAAATTCAACAAAAAAGTCAGGCATTACTTAGTCACTATAACGTCACTATAAATAACCAATACAGAGAACGTTCTCTTGTCTTCGGCAGTAATGGAGTCTAACAAAAAGTGTTAATTTTATTTATAAGTATTAGGATTAAAAATTCTTAAAAGAATGCATAATGACATATAGAACAAGTAAGAGATCTATATTCGGCTGTGCCGAATCTTATATACCCTTCACCATGCTGTGTTAAAAACCAGTCAGTACCAAATGTAAAACGGTAACGTATATAAAAGTCCCCTTTTATGGGTTCTCACTTAATCCCGGCTGTACATGCATAATTTTAAATTTCTAGGTTCAATATTACAGAAAATTCAAAAAGTACTTTTTGAAGAATGATAAAGTACCAAAAAGTACATTTTTATAGGTTCTCACTTAATCTATGTGAGTATGTAGTGCATACTTAATTTCATGTTTCTAGGTTCAATATTATAGAAATTTCAAAAAGTACCTTTTGAAGAACGAAAAAGTACCAAAATGTCCCTTTTTATAGTATCTCACTTAATCCAGGCTCTACATACTTAATTTCATGTTTCTAGGTTCAATATTATAGAAATTTCAAAAGGTACTTTTTGAAGAACGAAAAAGTACCAAAAAGTCACCTTTTATAGGTTCTCACTTAATCTGGGCTCTACATACCTAATTTCATGTTTCTAGGTTCAATATTATAGAAAATTCAAAAAGTACCTTTTGAAGAACGAAAAAGTACCAAAAAGTCCCCTTTTATAGGTTCTCACTTAATCCGGGCTCTACATACTTAATTTCATGTTTCTAGGTTCAATATTATAGAAATTTCAAAAAGTACCTTTTGAAGAACGAAAAAGTACCAAAAAAGTCCCCTTTTATAGGTTCTCACTTAATCCAGGCTATACATACTTAATTTCATGTTTCTAGGTTCAATATTATAGTAAATTCAAAAAGTACCTTTTGAAGAACGAAAAAGTACCAAAAAGTCCCTTTTTATACGTTCTCACTTAATCCGGGCTCTACATACTTAATTTCATGTTTCTAGGGTCAAAACTATAGAAACTTCAAAAAGTACCTTTTGAAGAACGAAAAAGTACCAAAATATTCCCTTTTAAAGGTTCTCACCTAATCCATTCCTTACATACTTAATTTCACGTTTCTAGGGTCAAAATTTCAGGATATTCAAAAAGTACCTTTTGAAGAACGAAAAAGTACCAAAAAGTCCCCTTTTATAGGTTCTCTCCTAATCCGGGCCCTACATGCTAAATTTCATGTTTCTAGGTTCAATATTATGAAGAATTCAAAAAGTACCTTTTGTAAAACGAAAAAGTACCAAAAAGTCCCCTTTTATGTGTTCTCAACTAACCTAGGCTCTACACACTTAATTTCATGTTTCTAGGTTCAATATTATAGAAAATTCAAAAAGTACCTTTTGTAAAACAAAAAAGTACCAAAAAGTTCCCTTTTATGTGTTCTCACCTAATCCGGGCTCTACATACTTAATTTTATGTCTCTAGGGTCAATATTATAGGAAATTCAAAAAGTACCTTTTGTAGAACGAAAAAGTACCAAAAAGTCCCTTTTTATAGGTTCTCAGCTAATCCGGGCTCTACATACTTAATTTCATGTTTCTAGGTTCAATATTATAGAAATTTCAAAAAGTACCTTTTGAAGAACGAAAAAGTACCAAAAAAACCCCTTTTATGTGTTCGCACCTAATCCGGGCTCTACATACTAAATTTCATGTTTCAAGTGACGTCATGCTCAGCTTTGTTTTTATAAACAATTACAATAACAAAATTTACCGTATGATTATGTATTTTGTTGTTGTTTTTTACAGTTTCTGTCTGAGCATGAATAAAAAATTTAAATTTTTCATGAAATTTTCAGAGGTGGTCTCGGATTTTTGCTCATATCTCCGCTATTTATGGGCCGATTGGGCTGATTTTAAATAGCGTTCTATTCGATCGTATTTCCAATAGAATTATCTCGCAGATATCTAGGGTCTTCTGAAAACTGATTTCAACATACACACAGACAGACAGACAGACAGACAGACGGACGGACATGGCTAAATCGACTCCGCTATCTATAAGGATCCAGAATATATGTATATACTTTATAGGGTCGGAAAATTATATTATAGAAATTACAAACGGAATGACAAACTTATATATACCCTTCTCACGAAGGTGAAGGGTATAAAAACGCATTGTGAATAAAGAAAAAAAGTTGCAGAACCTCTGACCAGTCCAGAATATACATATAAACAATTGTAATTTAAGAAATTTTTCATTTTATTTACTGTTCCATTAGAAATAACATTATCGATTGTTTAAAACGAAATGTTTTTAAAATATTTGATTTCCACAATATTCTTCTGCATAATTTCGTTTGGAAATGGGGTAAGATTGTATTTATTTCTTAAGATTTCTTATAAAATTTAATACTTTTTTATATAATATATTTTTAGATTTGTGAAGACTGTAATTTGGATGAAGTGCATCTTCATTTATTTGGACAGATTGAAAATATTAAACAATCATTACAAATAGTAAACAATCGCATGGATGTAATTAACGATAGGTAAAGTAAAATATAATAATGTTTTAGCTGAAAATTATGATAATTTTCTTTTATTATTATTAGATATTCATCTATTATTGACAAAAAAGAAACTTGTGAAAATCCACCCAAACCTTCCCGATCCATGTTCGATATACGCTTTGATAGCTTGCCCAAACATTGTGCTACCAATGCAGTGCCACCCAGCTCATGTGCCGAAGCCACTAAATGCACTCGTACCAGTGGCATTTATAATATCACTGATTATCGCTATAGCAATCAGACGTTCACGGTTTATTGCGACTATGACTATAACGATGGGGATTGGTTATACTTTTTAACGCGCTTTAATGGTAGAGAGAATTTTAAGCGAACCTGGAATGAATATGTTTATGGTTTTGGCAATGTTGCCAATGAATATTGGTTGGGTTTAGAGCGTCTCTATGCTCTAACAAACTATTATGGACCACAAGAGTTAATTGTGTATATTGAAAATTTTGAAGGTATAGCGAAATATGCACGATATAGTGATTTTGTTATTGGCAATGCAAGTGAAAAATATAAATTAAAGACATTGGGAGAATATTCGGGTACAGCTGGTGATAGTATGAGCAATCAATTTGGCTGCTATTTTACTACATATGACAATGATAATGATATGAATGATCCATTAAATTGTGCTCAAGAATATGGAGGTGGTTTTTGGTTTAATAGTTGTACTACTGCGTAAATATTTAATAACTTTTCTTTAATTTTCCTCACTAATATTATTTTACTATTTTCAGAAATCCCACTGGATTATATAAACGTGGTTTACATATATATAATGGAGATAATGGAGATATTGGAAGCTTTTGGCTTGATTTTGGTGGCTGGAATTATTCCCATAAAACAATTATATTCATGATACGTCGTAAAAGTGCCATAAAATTAAAATAATTTAGTTTTTCTTATAACAACAACTTTTTAAATTAAATTAGTTTGTGTTTTTTAAAATAATTAACTAAAATTATTGAATTTAATGAAACAAAAATTACAAAATTTAATTTTCATTTTATTGTAAAAAATTAAATAAAATTATTTCAAACTAAATAATCGTAAATAGAGAGTAGACTGGAATATAGTATAAACTATAGTATAGATTCAAAATGTTCTAAGAATTTTACAAGTTTCAATGTTTCATCTTTGGGCCACCAACAACTCGATGCCAAAAAAAAACGATTTTATAAACGAATATAAAAGGAAGCCTTAAAAACAGGAAGTAATAAATGTGCATCCCTATATAGTAAGGTAACAGGGCATAGAAATTTCTACTTTTGGACAGACTAAGCAACTTCATTGTTAATTATTTGAAATCCTTTTGATGGCAACGACCTTAACGATAATTGCATTATTCCTGACCATCAGTTTGGTTTCAGAAGAAAGCACAGCACTATCGAACAGGTACATCGAATAACTACTCTTATTCGGAAGGCCTTCGAGAGCAAGCAATATTGCTCAGCATTATTCATAGATATTTCTCAAGCTTTCGATAAAGTCTGGCACGATGGACTAATACACAAAATTATCACATTACTACCTGCGAACGTTCACAAACTGCTTAAAAATTACATATATGAAAGATCTTTTCAAATCCGATCAAAAGATGTGATCTCTTCACGTCGAAAAATATCTGCTGGAGTATCCCAGGGGAGTATTCTATGTCAGTTCCTATATATTTTATATACTGCAGATATGCCAACGAGCGCACTGACTCACACATCTACATACCGCTTTTGTAAGTATACATGAAAACCCTTCAATAGCTTCTGAACAACTCCAGTTTCACATCGGCGAATTGGAAAAGTGGCTGGACAAATGGAAAATAAAAGTCAATGCAACAAAATGTACTCACGTTACATTTACTTTAAGACGGGAAAATTGTCCTCCCGTACAGATAAACAATATAAAAATTCCTGAACAAAGCCATGTGAGATATCTTGGTATCCACCTTGATCGCCGCTTAACATGGACTCACCACATTGCAGCCAAGATTACACAGATAAAATTAAAGTCAGCTCAAATGTACTGGCTAATTGGACCACGGTCTGCTCTAGACTTGGAGTACAAAGTGCTTTTGTACAAAACAGTTATAAAACCGATATGGCTATATCGCATTCAACTGTGGGAAACAGCCTGCTCATCTAATGTTGAAAAATTACAAAGAAAGCAGTCAGCACTGTTAAGGTCAATAACAGGTACCCCGTGGTTCATTCGCAATAGTAATATTCATAGGGATCTCAATGTCCCCATAATACGCGAGCAGATCAAACTCTCTTGTTTAACCTACCTGTCGAAACTAATGGATCACCCAAATCCCCTTGCCAGGTAGTTGCTGTCATTTGAGGGTCATAGACGACTGAGAAGAACGGAAACATTGGATTTTGCCAGATAATCAAATTATCGAGAATCTTTATTATTAGTTCAACATTAAAGCATTTTCCTCAACATGATCAAACTTCTTACGACAGCGATTTATGAAACGTAACAACCCAGCAATCATATGTTTTAGTTTTAAATACCATGAAAATCTTTTATAATCAACAACATCTTCAGTATTTAATAAAAATTTTAAACGAAATTCTTCTGCATCGAAATCATTTGAGGCTTCAATTATTTTTTTGGTCCATTAGTCTTCATTATCATTTAGAATGTCAGGGCCATTAAACCAACAGGAATCTTCAGAAGACAATTTGTCTTTTCATTCTTGTTTTCCCATCGGTTTGTTGGCAGCTATCTATCTCCTATCAGTCGGACTAGTTAATTGAAGATTCCGGTACCACGGTACTTTTTCCTTTTGCAACTGATACTTTTTATATTTTCTATATTACTGAACTGAGTAATCTATAAAATGGGCACTTTTTGGTACTTTTTGTTTGTTATTCAACTGGTACTTTTTGAATATTGAACCTAGAAATATAAAATTTAAATATTCAGGGTCCTGAATGAATTTAAATCAGCACATTGTTACATTCTTCATCTGATATTTTTTGAGTTTTCTATAATATTGAACTGAGTAAATGAGAATCTTTTTAAATAGTATTGTACCATCAAATAAAAAATTAAATATTCAGATTCCTAAGTGTTAGATATCTGTAGGAAAGCACTTTTTGGTTATACCACTGCTACTTTTTGTCTTTTCTGCAATATAGAACCAAGAAACATAAAACATCAGACATATAGAATCCTTTTGGAATGAAAATCTATAAAAGTAGACATTTAGCTAGGTACTTTTGCGTTCATCAGCTGGTACTTTTTGAATCGTTCATAATATTGAATCTAGAAACGCAAATTAAACACTCAGCATACTGAGTGAATGAAAAATCTATAAAAGAACAAGTAAGAGTGTTATATTCGACCATGCCGAATCTTATATACCCACCATCAACCCGTATGCCGTAAATGGAATGCTGCCCTATAAACATTAGGTTGATATTTAAAATAGGGCTTAAGTCAATTATGTACACATCCCTCTTTCGGATTAACAAAATATTCACTTTTATAAATAAAATATTTTTGTCCAACTTTTAAACCATAAACATATATGGGCGGTCAATCGGGGTCAATTATAAAATTCGAAAGAGATTTTGGCTTGCAAGAAACTTATTTCTGTATATCGAATTTCATAGCTATACTCGCATTTTTAAGCCAGTAATGTGCGTTAAAGTCATTTTCTGTAGGGGGTCTTATATGGGGGGGTAAGGTAAATTATGGACCGATTCTCATAAATTTCAGTAGAGAGATTTGTGCTCATAAGAAACTTACTTATGTCGAATTTCAGAGCTATACTCGTATTTTTAAGGCAGTAGTGAGGGGGGGGAGTAGAGTCAATTGTGGACCGATCCTCATAAAATTTGGATAGAATTTAGATAGATTTTAACTCATAAAAAAGTTGCTTATGTATACTCTTATTATTAAGGCAGTAATGAGCGTTAAAGTATTTTTCTGAAGGGGACCTTATATGGGGGTATGGTAAATAGATTTTTGATAGTGATAAACTTACTTATATCGAATTTCAGCGCTAGACTCGTATTTTCAAGCCAGTAATGGGAGTTAAAGTAATTTTTTGAAGGGGATCCTGATAAAATTTGCTAGAGAGAATTTGGATTATATGAAACTTACTTATGTCGAATTTCATCGCTATACTCGCAGTTTTTAGGGAGGCCACTTGTATGGGGGCTATGCGAAAACGTTCACCGATATTGCCCATTTTCAATACCAAACAAAACTTACCTATAAGAAATATGTATGGAAAATTTCAACTCTCTAGCTCTTTCCGTTCGGACTCTATCGTGCTTTCAACAGACAGACAAACAGACAGACAGACGGATGGACGGACAGACAGACGGACGGACAGACATGGCTAGATCGTCTTAGAATTTAATAAGGACCCAGAATATATGTATATACTTTTGTGGGTCTATGATCGATATTTCGATGTGTTACAAACGGAATGACAAAATCAATATGTGGGATATATTTATATTTTTTGATGGTGGGTATAAAAAGATATGAAAACAAAAGAAGCATGCCATGAAATCAAATGTCAATCAAAGCGAACAAAGTCTTTTATGTGGTGCTCAATTTTAATAAAAATAACAAGAAAAAACAATTAAATATTAAAAGTTTGTGATAAAATTAATAAAGGTTGGATCCCGAAGATAACTGATGTCTTCAGAAAACTGATTTCAACAGACAGACAGACGGACATGGCTTAATCGACTCCGCTATCTATAAGGATTCAGAATATACATATATACTTTATAGGGTCGGAAAATTATATTTTTGAAATCACAAACGGAATGACAAACTTATATATACACTTCTCACGAAGGTGAACGGTATGATGATATTAAAATTGTATAAAAAAACATTCAATTAAAAATTTGCAAACGCAAAACAAAGTGAGGGTCTCTCACTTTTAGCATAAGCTATGTAGATTAGGGTGGCCCCATTTGTATGGAGATAGGTACTGATGTTCCCATTGAAAATGAAAGCTTGGTTCATTCTTAGTTAATATTTCTCAAAATGTTTTTTTCAAACAATAATAAGGTTCTTATTCGAGAATTTTTCAATCGTTTTCATATTTCACGCAAAAGAATGTTATGAATTTTTGATATCATTTGAAAGCGCCTCTCAACGCTTTTGATGGTATATCGTATCTTTTTCATGCTAGTTTAAAAATTTTATAATTTTTTGGAAAATATTAACATTTTCATTTTAAATTTTTACATCAAATATTTAAACAATATAATGAAGTGAAATAAATATATTTAACATAAACTTCATTAAATTTCACCCAAATTTTAGGTGAATTTTTCTCAATCAACTTTGAGGAATGTTATGTTTGAATGAAATAAATTTAAATTTTCTTGAGGAACATTTGCAACTTAGGGGCCACCCTAATGTACAGATCGTATGTGATAAGAACCTTGTTTAAATATATATGATAACAAATATTACATAAACAATTATTTTTCGACTTTTTTAAACCGACAGCGATTCTTAAACATTAAAACCGTATCCAAATATAATTAACATATAAAAATTATATTTTGATTCAGGCATGAAAAATTGAAATTTTGAAATAGTACTAATATATGACAAAAAGAGTACTTTTTAGGCTTTAAAGTACTAAACTAATAAACAACTCGACCATAGACTGACTATAGAATAACTACAGATAGACTATTGACTAGACTATAGACTAGACTATAGACTAGACTAGACTATAGACTAGACTATAGACTAGACTATAGACTAGACTATAGACTAGACTATAGACTAGACTATTGACTAGACTATAGACTAGACTATAGACTAGACTATAGACTAGACTATAGAGTAGACTATAGACTAAACTATAGACTAGACTTTAGACTAGACTATAGACTAGACTATAGACTAGACTATAGACTAGACTAGACTATAGACTAGACTATAGACTAGACTATAGACTAGACTATAGACTAGACTATAGACTAGACTATAGACTAGACTATAGACTAGACTATAGACTAGACTATAGACTAGACTATAGACTAAACTATAGACTATAGACTAGACTATAGACTAAACTATAGACTATAGACTAGACTATAGACTAGACTATAGACTAGACTATAGACTAGACTATAGACTAGACTATAGACTAGACTATAGACTAGACTATAGACTAGACTATAGACTAGACTATAGACTAGACTATAGACTAGACTAGACTATAGACTAGACTATAGACTAGACTATAGACTAGACTATTGACTAGACTATAGACTAGACTATAGACTAGACTATAGACTAGACTATAGACTAGACTATAGACTAGACTATAGACTAGACTATAGACTAGACTATAGACTAGACTATAGACTAGAATATAGACTAGACTATAGACTAGAATATAGACTAGACTATAGACTAGACTAACTATAGACTAGACTATAGACTAGACTATAGACTAGACTATAGACTAGACTATAGACTAGACTATAGACTAGACTATAGACTAGACTATAGACTAGACTATAGACTAGACTATAGACTAGACTATAGACTAGACTATAGACTAGACTATAGACTAGACTATAGACTAGACTATAGACTAGACTATAGACTAGACTATAGACTAGACTATAGACTAGACTATAGACTAGACAATAGACTTGACTAGACTAGACTATAGACTAGACTATAGACTAGACTATAGACTAGACTAGACTATAGACTAGACTAGACTAGACTATAGACTAGACTATAGACTAGACTATAGACTCCTATACTAGAACTGACTAGACTAGACTAGACTAGACTAGACTATAGATTAGACTATAGACTAAACTATAGACTATAGACTAGACTATAGACTAAACTATAGACTATAGACTAGACTATAGACTAGACTATAGACTAGACTATAGACTAGACTATAGACTAGACTAGACTATAGACTAGACTATTGACTAGACTATAGACTAGACTATAGACTAGAGTATAGACTAGACTATAGACTAGACTATAGACTAGATTATAGACTAGACTATAGACTAGACTATAGACTAGACTATAGACTAGACTATAGACTAGACTATAGACTAGACTATTGACTAGACTATAGTCTAGTCTATAGACTATAGACTAGACTATAGACTAGACTATAGACTAGACTATAGACTAGACTATAGACTAGACTATAGACTAGACTATAGACTAGACTATAGACTAGACTATAGACTAGACTATAGACTAGACTATAGACTAGACTATAGACTAGACTATAGACTAGAATATAGACTAGACTATAGACTAGACTATAGACTAGACTAACTATAGACTAGACTATAGACTAGACTATAGACTAGACTATAGACTAGACTACAGACTAGACTATAGACTAGACTATAGACTAGACTATAGACTAGACTATAGAGACTAGACTATAGACTAGACTATAGACTAGACTATAGACTAGACTATAGACTAGACTATAGACTAGACAATAGACTTGACTAGACTAGACTATAGACTAGACTAGACTATAGACTAGACTAGACTATAGACTAGACTATAGACTAGACTATAGACTAGACTATAGACTAGACTATAGACTAGACTATAGACTAGACTATAGACTAGACTATAGACTCCTATACTAGAACTGACTAGACTAGACTAGACTAGACTAGACTAGACTAGACTAAACTAAACTAGACTATAGACTAGACTATAGACCAGACTAGACTAGACTAGACTAGACTATAGACTAGACTACAGACTAGACTATAGATTAGACTATAGACTAGACTATAGACTAGACTATAGACTAGACTATGGACTAGACTATAGACTAGACTATAGACTAGACTAGACTAGACTATAGACTAGACTAAGACTAACTATAGACTAGACTATAGACTAGACTATAGACTACACTATAGACTACACTATAGACTAGACTATACACTAGACTAAAGACTAGACTATAGACTATACACTAGACTATAGACTAGACTATAGACTAGACTATAGACTAGACTATAGACTAGACTATAGACTAGACTAGACTCTTGTCTTCGGCAGTGATGGAGTCTAAAAAAAGTGTTCATTTTATTTATAAGTATTACGATTAAAGATTCTCAAAAAATGCATAATGACACATAGAAAAACGCATTGTGAATAAAGAAAAATAGTTACAGAACCTCTGACCAGTCCTGAATATTTAAACAATTACAATTTAAGAAATTGTTCATTTTAATTACTGTTCCATTCGAAATAACAACTTCGATTGTTTAAAACGAAATGTTTTTGAAATATCTGATTTTGCAAATATTCTTTTGCATAATTTCATTTGGAAATGGGGTAAGATTGCATTTATTTCTTAAGATTTCTTATAACTTTTAAAACGTTTGTTATATACATATATATTTTACATATTTAGAATTGTGAAAACTGTAATTTGGATGAAGTGTATCTTCACTTATTTGGACAAATTGAAAATATTAAACAATCCTTACAAATAGTAAACAATCGCATGGATTTAATTAACGATAGGTAAAGTAATATATAATAATGTTTTAGATGAAAATTGTGATAATTACTTTTTATTATGATTAGATATTCATCTATGGCTGACAAAATAAAATACATTGATAATCCAACCAAAACTTCCCGATCCATGTTCGATATACGCTTTGATAGCTTACCCAAACATTGTGCCACCAGTGCAGTGCGACCCAGCTCATGTGCCGAAGCCACTAAATGCACTCGTACCAGTGGCATTTATAATATCACTGATTATCGCTATAGCAATCAGACTTTCACGGTTTATTGCGACTATGACTATAACGATGGGGATTGGTTATACTTTTTAACACGCTTTAATGGTGGGAAGAATTTTAACCGAACCTGGAATGATTATACTCATGGTTTTGGTAATGTTGCCAATGAATATTGGTTGGGTCTAGAACGTCTCTATGCCCTAACAAACTATTATGGACCACAAGAGTTGATTGTGTATATTGAAAATTTTGAAGGTATAGCAAAATATGCACGATATAGTGATTTTGTTATTGGAAATGCTAGAGAAAAATATAAATTAAAGTCACTAGGTGTATATTCGGGTACAGCTGGTGATGAAATGAAACACCAATTAGGCTCCTATTTTAGTACATATGACAATGATAACGATGTGTATGATTCAATAAATTGTGCTCAATATCGTGGAGGTGGTTTTTGGTTTAATGATTGTGGTTCTGCGTAATTATTTAATAACTTTTCTTGAAATTTTAACTAATAAATTAATTTATATTATTTTCAGAAATCCCACTGGATTATATAAAAGTGGTAAATATAGCGGAGATTCAAATGGTTGCTTTTGGTATGGATTTGGTGGCTGGCGTTATTCCCATAAAACAATTATATTCATGATTCGTCGTAAAAGTGCCATAAAATTAAAATAATTTAATTTTTCTTATAACAACAACTTTTTAAATTAAATTTCTTTGTGTTTTTAAAATATATTTAACTAAAATTATTGAATTTATTGAAACAAAAATTATAAAATTTAATTTTCTTTTTATTGTTCATATTATTTAATAGAGCGTAGTCTGGAATGTAGTATAAACTATAGTATAGATTCAAAATGATCTAAGAATATTACAAACTGAACTAGAACTGAACTAGAACTGAACTAGAACTGAACTAGAACTGAACTAGAACTGAACTAGAACTGAACTAGAACTGAACTAGAACTGAACTAGAACTGAACTAGAACTGAACTAGAACTGAACTAGAACTGAACTAGAACTGAACTAGAACTGAACTAGAACTGAACTAGAACTGAACTAGAACTGAACTAGAACTGAACTAGAACTGAACTAGAACTGAACTAGAACTGAACTAGAACTGAACTAGAACTGAACTAGAACTGAACTAGAACTGAACTAGAACTGAACAAGAACTGAACTAGAACTGATCTAGAACCGAACTAGAACCGAACTAAAACTGAACTAGAACTGAACTAGAACTGAACTAGAACTGAACTAGAACTGAACTAGAACTGAACTAGAACTGAACTAGAACTGAACTAGAACTGAACTAGAACTGAACTAGAACTGAACTAGAACTGAACTAGAACTAGAACTGAACTAGAACTGAACTAGAACTGAACTAGAACTGAACTAGAACTGAACTAGAACTGAACTAGAACTGAACTAGAACTGAACTAGAACTGAACTAGAACTGAACTAGAACTGAACTAGAACTGAACTAGAACTGAACTAGAACTGAACTAGAACTGAACTAGAACTGAACTAGAACTGAACTAGAACTGAACTAGAACTGAACTAGAACTGAACTAGAACTGAACTAGAACTGAACTAGAACTGAACTAGAACTGAACTAGAACTGAACTAGAACTGAACTAGAACTGAACTAGAACTGAACTAGAACTGAACTAGAACTGAACTAGAACTGAACTAGAACTGAACTAGAACTGAACTAGAACTGAACTAGAACTGAACTAGAACTGAACTAGAACTGAACTAGAACTGAACTAGAACTGAACTAGAATTGAAATAGAACTGAACTAGAACTGAACTAGAACTGAACTAGAACTGAACTAGAATTGAACTAGAACTGAACTAGAACTGAACTAGAACGAAAGTAGCGCCGATTTCATCTTTATTTAAAACTGAGACAGTGAAGACAGAGAAAATGTGACAGACATACAAACACCTAATTTAAATACTAATACCAGTACTTGCTTGTGAATGCTATACATTAGAGATCGGCTTAAAGAGAACACATTGTTTTTTATGTTGGGAAATAAATGGTTAATTGCGATTTTGAAGGTTTTATCGAAATTTAACTTGAGTTTGTGTAAAAAAACATAATTCTCGTTATGTCATGGATTTGATTGCCAACCAACGCATGAACAACTTGAGATGGTGGAATGAAACTTTTAACGTGAGTCATATGTGGTGTATGTGGCTTTTTGATTTATGTTCAACCAGGCGGCAATAATGAATTATTTATGTTGATTTTCTTCATCTTCTTCTTCTATTCTTACATTTTTTATACAATTTTATCGTTTTTATGTTGCTTTTCTTTTTAATTTTTGCCGTATGCACTTGTTAGCAATGTTTTACAAACGTTTCAAACAATTTTTTTAAGACAATGGCGATAAAAACGAGTCAAGATATAAATAGTAGGGCTTAACCGATCATATAATAGCCTACACAAGACAAGACAACAGTTCGCTAATAGCTGTCTAATTGTTAGGGTAAACTGAACTAAGGAATTTTCATATCTAATAGTAATCAATTGACCACACACTTACAAATGGTCAGTCTATCTGTGTGTCCATGCAAACCTTAGGCGCTCGCTCCAGGTCACAATTTTAAATATACTTTGAAACATATTCTTCACTGGATCGCGTTCAAAATGGTTGAAATTGGTTCATTACTTAACCTAACCCCCACCGTATGTGGCTTTTGAATTCATAATTATGTGAAATATACTTGTGTCTAGGCAAAAAGTGTCTCAACTCAATTTCATAATAATTGCGTCTCAGCTCTCATACAAATCCATCCACCAAGTTATATGGCTTCTTTAAGTTAATTTGCTTTTCGTCAATAAATAACACAAATGCTTAGCTTATTAAATTACAATAAATATTCGTATTTGGTGTAGGGTATCTTATGGTCGGCCACGCCCGACTTAAGTTTCTTACTATATTTCTCCGAAAAGAAATATTCTTCAACTTTAGACATAAACTTTAAAACAAAAACTGTTCTAGTTCTGTTCTAGTTCTGTTCTAGTTCTGTTCTAGTTCTGTTCTAGTTCTGTTCTAGTTCTGTTCTAGTTCTGTTCTAGTTCTGTTCTAGTTCTGTTTAGTTCTGTTCTAGTTCTGTTCTAGTTCTGTTCTAGTTCTGTTCTAGTTCTGTTCTAGTTCTGTTCTGTTCTAGTTCTGTTCTAGTTCTGTTCTAGTTCTGTTCTAGTTCTGTTCTAGTTCTGTTCTAGTTCTGTTCTAGTTCTGTTCTAGTTCTGTTCTAGTTCTGTTCTAGTTCTGTTCTAGTTCTGTTCTAGTTCTGTTCTAGTTCTGTTCTAGTTCTGTTCTAGTTCTGTTCTAGTTCTGTTCTAGTTCTGTTCTAGTTCTGTTCTAGTTCTGTTCTAGTTCTGTTCTATTTCTGTTCTAGTTCATTTCTAGTTCTGTTCTATTTCTGTTCTAGTTCTGTTCTAGTTCTGTTCTAGTTCTGTTCTAGTTCTGTTCTAGTTCTGTTCTAGTTCTGTTCTAGTTCTGTTCTAGTTCTGTTCTAGTTCTGTTCTAGTTCTGTTCTAGTTCTGTTCTAGTTCTGTTCTAGTTCTGTTCTGTTCTAGTTCTGTTCTAGTTCTGTTCTAGTTCTGTTCTAGTTCTGTTCTGTTCTAGTTCTGTTCTAGTTCTGTTCTAGTTCTGTTCTAGTTCTGTTCTAGTTCTGTTCTAGTTCTGTTCTAGTTCTGTTCTAGTTCTGTTCTAGTTCTGTTCTAGTTCTGTTCTAGTTCTGTTCTAGTTCTGTTCTAGTTCTGTTCTAGTTCTGTTCTAGTTCTTTCTAGTTCTGTTCTAGTTCTGTTCTATTTCTGTTCTAGTTCATTTCTAGTTCTGTTCTATTTCTGTTCTAGTTCTGTTCTAGTTCTGTTCTAGTTCTGTTCTAGTTCTGTTCTAGTTCTGTTCTAGTTCTGTTCTAGTTCTGTTCTAGTTCTGTTCTAGTTCTGTTCTAGTTCTGTTCTAGTTCTGTTCTAGTTCTGTTCTAGTTCTGTTCTAGTTCTGTTCTAGTTCTGTTCTAGTTCTCTGTTCTAGTTCTGTTCTAGTTCTGTTCTAGTTCTGTTCTAGTTCTGTTCTAGTTCTGTTCTAGTTCTGTTCTAGTTCTGTTCTAGTTCTGTTCTAGTTCTGTTCTAGTTCTGTTCTAGTTCTGTTCTAGTTCTGTTCTTGTTCTAGTTCTAGTTCTAGTTCTAGTTCTGTTCTAGTTCTGTTCTAGTTCTGTTCTAGTTCTGTTCTAGTTCTGTTCTAGTTCTGTTCTAGTTCTGTTCTAGTTCTGTTCTAGTTCTGTTCTAGTTCTGTTCTAGTTCTGTTCTAGTTCTGTTCTAGTTCTGTTCTAGTTCTGTTCTAGTTCTAGTTCTGTTCTAGTTCTCTTCTAATTCTGTTCTAGTTCTGTTCTAGTTCTGTTCTAGTTCGGTTCTAGTTCTGTTCTAGTTCTGTTCTAGTTCTGTTCTAGTTCTGTTCTAGTTCTGTTCTAGTTCTGTTCTAGTTCTGTTCTAGTTCTGTCTAGTTCTGTTCTAGTTCTGTTCTAGTTCTGTTCTATTGTCTGTTCTAGTTCTGTTCTAGTTCTGTTCTAGTTCTGTTCTAGTTCTGTTCTAGTTCTGTTCTAGTTCTGTTCTAGTTCTGTTCTAGTTCTGTTCTGTTCTAGTTCTGTTCTAGTTCTGTTCTAGTTCTGTTCTGTTCTAGTTCTGTTCTAGTTCTGTTCTAGTTCTGTTCTAGTTCTGTTCTAGTTCTGTTCTAGTTCTGTTCTAGTTCTGTTCTAGTTCTGTTCTAGTTCTGTTCTAGTTCCGTTCTAGTTCTGTTCTAGTTCTTTTCTAGTTCTGTTCTAGTTCTGTTCTAGTTCTGTTCTAGTTCTGTTCTAGTTCTGTTCTAGTTCTGTTCTAGTTTTGTTCTAGTTCTGTTCTAGTTCTGTTCTATTTCTGTTCTAGTTCCGTTCTAGTTCTGCTCTAGTTCTGTTCTAGTTCCGTTCTAGTTCTGTTCTAGTTCTGTTCTAGTTCTGTTCTAGTTCTGTTCTAGTTCTGTTCTAGTTCTGTTCTAGTTCTGTTCTAGTTCTGTTCTAGTTCTGTTCTAGTTCAGTTCGAGTTCAGTTCTAGTTCAGTTCTAGTTCTGTTCTAGTTCTTGTCTATAGTTTAGACTACATATTAGTTTATAGCTCGGACAGGTTCCTCTTTCGATAACATTAATTATTTAAACATTTTGTAGATTGTGCTTGTCTTAGTTGCTCCGACTAAATGTATGCAATTGACTTCAATTTAACCTAAAATTTATTACATGAAATCAAAAATTAATTCTTCTAATAAAACTGTTTTATTTCGTAAATGTGTTTTTAAAATATATAATTGAAAGTGTTGCTACGAAAAGCCAATTAAACTACTGATCCAAAAATATTGATTTCTAAAAAGGAATTAATTATATTTTACTAAATAAGCCTTTATAAATAAAATATTGTAAATTTAATTGAATTTTAACTCCTTGACAAAATTCCTTAAAGAAAAATGTATGGATTATTTATTTTTTTTTTTTTTTGAAAATCATGGCAAGTGAGTAAATTAATTACTTTGGAATAAAGGTATTTTTATGCAAAAAATAAAAATTAACTTTGAATGCAAAAAATGAAGTGTACGAAAATCCGGTTTAATCCTTTATAAATTAACAATATATTTATATATACAGTATCGGTAAACATGAATAAATGTGAATATTAGTATGATAAATATATT